AGTGTGCTTACCTGGAATTTACAAACGTTTCTGCACGGAAAGCTGAAGAGATGGTTTTATGGTTAAAAGAACCAGATTCAGTTCCCAGGTGGCTCACAACCTTCTATAACTGCAGTTCCAGAGATCTGATACCTTCGTCTGACCTCTGAAGTCACGAGGCATACACACGGTGCACACACACAAGCAAGACACTCATCCATATAAAGTAAAACAATCTAAAAGAAATGTTTCTAAAATCCTTTCTTTACAGGAAAGCAAAGTATACAGAATGAAAAGACAGCCTACAGAAAAGGAAGAATCTTTGCCAGCAATATATCTAACAGGAGATTAATTCCTAGAATATATATATATATAAGAAACTGCAAAAAAAACAAATATGCCAGTAAACTAAACAAACAGTTATCAAAAGAAGAGATCTCTGAAGAACTGCTCAACTTCCTTAACCATTGGGGAAATGCAAATTAAAGCTACATTGAGATTCCACCTCGAGGTGGTTTGAATATGCTTGGCCCAGGGGGTGTTACAATTAGGAGGTGTGGCCTTGTTGGAAGAAGTGTGTCACTGTGGGTGTGGGCATTGAGATCCTCCTCCTAGCTGTCTGGAAGACAGTAGTCTTCTCCTGTTTGCCTTTGGAACAAGATATAGAGCTCTTGTCTTCTGCAGCACCGTGTCTGCCTGGACACTGCCATGCTTCCCTCTGTGATGATAATGGATTGACCCCAGGAACCTGCAAGCCAGCCCCAATTAAATGCTGTCCCTTATAATAGTTGTCTTAGTCATGGTGTCCCTTCACAGCAATGGAAACCCTAACTAAGACACACCTCATTCCTGTAAGATAACTAAAATTTTAAAGAGAAAACACTATAAATGCCAATGAGACTGTGGAGACAGGGAGTCCTTACACCCTGATGATAGGAGCACAAACTGATGTAGTCACATGGAAGCCGATGTGGGGCTTCCTCAAAAACAACAAACAGAAGCACTGTTTGACCCAGCCATTCTCCTGGCTACATGCCTGAAAGACTCTAAGTCAGCCCTCCACATGTGTACATGTTTGTTGCTGCACCTAGCATTACACAACAGCTGAGAAACATCCATCAACAGAAGATGAAGAACTTAGGCACAACAGAAGTTTCTCAGACGTTTGCAGGGAAATGGGTGGACCTAGAGATAACTGTTCTAAACAGAGTAAGACTCAGAGAATCACTGCCTGTTTTCTATCACAGGTGGGACCTAGGCTTTATTATCCAGAGTGTAGAGCATGAGCATAGGAAGGGACAACAGGAGGAGAGAGGAGAAGAAGGGCCGATGGGATTAATATGATGTGTAAAAAGAGGGAGGACTATTTGGACAGAAGAAAGAGAAAGGATAATTAGGACAGAGGAAAGGACCAATGAAAGGAAGGCTGGAGGAGCCCAGGCAAGGGAGGAACGAACGAGAACAAAATGCTAAAATGAAACCCAGCTCTGTATATACTAACTTTAAAAAAATAACTTGCGGGCTCGTGAGACGGCTCAGCAGGTCAAAGCACATGCTACACAAGCCTGAGGTCCTGAGTTCAATTCACAGGTAAACATGATTGGGAGAGAAACAGCTCCATAAACCTGCTCTTGGGACACCCCCCAACCCCCCCACACACACATGCATGCCATGGCACATGCATCTGTGCCACCCACATACATCATACAAGACATGCACACAATAATTGATTGATTGATAATTCACTGACTAATAACTTTAAAAAATCCTTATAAACTACAGCATCTCTAACGACCTTCTTTCTCTACGTAAGCAGCGAGTGTGAACCATCCCCAGCTAACAAGGTAGTTCAACAACTCAAGACCTCGACATCTTGATGCTCCTTGATTACCCAGAATCCTGTCCTTTAATACTGAAGGATGCTGCCCTCACCTTTACACTCTAGAATGTTGACGTCTGCATCTATATAACAGCCAGTGGAAGAGATGAAAAGGGTGAAAGGACCTTTAACTTTAAGATCACAACTAGCTGCAAGGGAAGCCTTTAATGAAGTTATATACAGAACAACAGGGTAAGAAAATGGGAAGAAACAGAGTAGACTTAGAAAAGGGAGAAACAAAACGATCTGTAATATCTCTCTCTGGTCTTTATTCTTGGATCTCCTCATCCTTATTTCCGCCCCACTGCCAGATTTAGGCTGTTATTTTCCTTAGTTTGTGTTAAGTGTTTTATGTGTGTGTGTGTGTGTGTGTGTGTCTGTGTCTCTGTCTGTGTGTGTGTGTGTGTGGTGCGTGAGTGTGTGTGTGTGAGTGTGGTGTGTGGTGCGTGAGTGTGTGTGTGTGAGTGTGGTGTGTGGTGCGTGAGTGTGTGTGTGAGTGTGGTGTGTGTGTACAGTGCTTCCATCGTGGGATCTGGAGATCAAACTCAGACCGTCAATTTGCACAGCAAGTGCTTCTGACCAGTGGGCCATCATAGGCACATGTTGTTCTTGGCTTTAAAGCTACACTACTAGTCTCTTGCACTAATCACAAATCATTCTCTCTTTCTGTTTGTGTTTGCGAGCATTTACTATTTGTACCTATGTTAATTCTTTCTATTTATTTTCTTCTCTCCCTTTTTCTTACTGACACCTTTATGATTTCAATCTTTGTGAACACCCTGAACTTGGTTGGTGGGCTTGTGTGGCCTCTCCTGGGGACACCTCCATGGCAACTTGAGAGAAATGTATTGATATATTGTAAGGTTTTTTGCTGTGAGCACTTTATACATGACTCAGATGTAATCTATCCATACGTTACTCAGGTATGCCACATCTCATGCAACAGTTCATTGAATTCCCTTCAGTTCAGACGTTTGCATCTTCGGCTGGGTCTCTCTGGACAACATCATGCTATGTACATGTTTTGAATACTTACAGCTTCTTCATGGGTAAATCCTAGTGCAAGGGTACAAGAAGGTCAGTGCCCCAGTGTGATACACAGATGGGCTGGGGGACGCCTCCTCAAAGGATTGCCAAAGCTGCTCAACTTAGTAAGGTCATCATGGATATCCAATGCTCTTATTGTCTCATGACCACTACGGACTAGTCTTTTATCTGATGCCACCTCTGTTCTCTCTTGTTACTATCTTTCAGCTTGTTTGCATCTAAATACTGGATAATTTTGACTACTGATTAACTTCCTTTTTGTTCAGCTTCATGAACCCCTCTTAGCCCTCCTTGAAAAACAGGTTTTGTGGAGACAACCTCCCTCCGTCCGTTTTTATTTCTACACGAGTTTTATCTTTCTTTCGCTTACCGAGGACAGTCCTGCTGGGTGAGTATTTTTGATTTGCGTGTTTCTCCCTTGGGAAACATTAAGTATCTCATCCTGTCCCTAACAGTGTCTCTGGGAAGTCTCCTCCCACTCCCGCTGGAGTCTCTTTGTATCTTCTTTTCTCTCACTGCCTTCGGATACTCTCTTTGATCTTTGGAACTTCAGTCAGAGTATGTCACAGTGTAAGACTGACCCTGAGAGAAGAAATTTGATCTCCTGAATCTGGGTATTTATAACTTTCCTTGGGTTTGCAAAGTTTTCTGGGATTGTTTCCTCACAAGATTTAAAAAGTAAATGATTTTCTCTGCGCTCTTTTGATATCACTGACACAAACCTTTGCCCTTTCCATGTTGTCCAGGGCAGCGCTCCTCTCCTTTCTGCTGTTTCTTCCACAGTGACTGCATTTCCAAGCAGTCTGTCTGTGAGCTCCGAGACTCTTCTGTTTGATCAGACCTAACGATGCTCACAGTAGCACACCCGTCGTTTCATATACTGTTTTCCATCTTAGGCACAACTCTGTAGGTTTTGAAGTCATGGCCTTCCAGGGGTTTCCATGAAATCCCAGGGTGGTCGCTGAGCTAACTGACAGGACTGCAAATGCAAAAGCAGAACTTTTATTTCACCGAGACAGTGGACATTAGGATAGCTTCTTTGCAAGCAAACTTAACAGCCTTGTAAGAATCCCAGAAATTTTTCACGAAAGGAGTAACGCCATATAGGTCACAAAGGCTTGGACCTTTTGCATGGTTCTTTACTGTTCTAACATAAAGTATATTTGTATGAGAGCCTCATTGCCTTGGGGCTGGCAACCTTCCCAGAAATGTTGTACATCATGGCGCTAGTACTCGAGAGCTTCAGAAAAGAAATTTTCTTTAAAATGAAGTCTACAAGTTACCTGTGTCAAAGTGACCCAGAGATGAAAAATAGCAGCACAAATTGCAGCTAAAAGATGTACAGTCAGCTGATAGCTCAGTAGTTAAGAGTCCATGCTGCTTTGGCAGAGGACCTGAACTTCATCCCAGGCACGCGCGAAGGGAAGCTCACAGCCGTCTATGCCTGTAGCTCCGGGAGGATGCATCACTCCCTTCCCGCCTCCGTGGTTCATCTGCACACACATGGACACACATAATCTATGAAATTAGAAATAAAAATAAATACTTTTTAAAAGATTAGGTTTTGCTTCCACATTAGGTTCCAAGTCTCCTGGATGCAGGTACAAAGCTGGGTTTTTTGTTATTTTGTTTTTTTATTTTTGTTTTTTGTTTTGATTTATAAAGACAAACATTGTCCCGGGTCCAGAATGACCTCAGGTTAGATTTTTTTTTTACTTCATTAACAACTGAAGCTTTTACATATAAATAAAGACATTAAAAAAAGAAATTAAGAAATAAAATATTAGTTAAGAATCGAGTTCCTTGTAAATAAGACATTCTTCCAAGGGTTGGCCAGTCTTGATGCACAGTCTGGAAAAAAAATCTTCTACTCTTACTGATTCCTAGTGTTCTGAATGAAGCAAACCTGAAGAAAAGGCCAACCCTGTGGCTCCCTCAGTAAAGGACAGCCCACCCAGGTCCTAGAACATTGCATCCAGCTGTTAATTCTGCTGTCCTTCTCTGTGAACCATAGGTCCTTCTGTCGGCGGCCCTCCCATGAAGCTGGTATAACCACACCTGGCCTCCACGCTCACCTGCACAGTTTTCTCTGGAGATGAAGCTCCTTAGCTTTTCTCTGCTCACGGTGACCATTCTTCTTTGCTGTAACATGGCTCAGCCTGAACTAAAGAAGAAGGGTGAGGCACAGTGCTCCTGGGGTGGTGTGGGCAGGGAAACCTTCGCTCTGAGAAGCCCAAGGAACCACTTGGTACTTGGTGCTCAAAGCAGAGGTTCACAGTTGGTCAGGCCCCAAGACTCACCCTGTGATATTCTTCTGCAGCTTTTTCCAAAACTGGATATTGCCCAGAGTTTCATCTTTCCTGTCCCTTTGTCCTTATACCCAAATGCAGACGTGATAAAGGCTGCAAGGGGGACCAGAAGTGTTGCTTCTACTACTGCCAGATGCGCTGTGTGGAACCGTGGGATACTATAGATTAGGTAAGCAGCTCCCCAAAATGCTATTTGCCACGCTCCTTCTGGAATCCTTGGGTGGAGTCACTTGCCTTGTAGGAAGCTGTGATCTGTCTATATCTCTAGACAGCATGGCAGTCAGAGCATCTAAATTAATTAGGATATCCAGAGATTGCCCCCTTCCTCAGAAAAGGCATCATTCATTGTATGGATGGCATTACCCATCCCTGTATGCCACCTCTGCATAGGATAATCTCTAAGCTCCTCAGCTGCTATTGAATGCTTCTTATGCTTATTTTTGGTGGCCTCTTTCACATCTTATAACAATGATGCATTTCACACTATACCTTAAATTATAAAGGGATTTTGAAATCGTAATTTCTTACTTAACACTGACAGAACCATGTACTGTTAGCCCTTAATTCACTGACAGCACATCTCAGTGTTCGTGGAAAGACAGCACATAGTAGAATCCAGAGCATGGTGACCAGGTAACTCAGAGCCATGTCCCCAGCATGGTTTTCATCTGTTCTTATCTCTGTTCTTCCTAGACAAACCTGAGAAGACACATGTGATATAGTTTCAGTTGAGGATAGCTGGTTTCCTCTGTTTCCTTCTCGGCCCATCCTAAAGCCTAAAATTAAGTGCTTGTTAATATGAGTACAAAATAAAGGAATAAAGTGTTGTGTATTTGTCTATTTTCTGTTGCTGGAAAAAAAACCTAACATAGGCTGGGATTTTACAAATATGGAAGATTTACTACCCTGCACTGCGAAATATACTTGAAAGAATGTTCACAAAAGAAAGAAGTCCTATTATGGAGAACACAGGGAAGGATTAATTTCATGAGACAAAAACATTATTAGATACTTTTCCTTGATTGACAAGATGCATGACCGTAGGGAAGGAAAGGTGTGTTTTGAATCATAGTTTGAAGATGCTTTCTATCACAGTAGAGATGGCACAGTAGATACCAGATATCTGACAAAAAAGAGTTCAAACCAAGGAGATAAAGAAAGCCTCTAGATATTAATAAAGAGAACAAATCATTAAGACACGACAATTGTAAATACCTACGCACAAAACACTGAGACACCCAGTTTCAAACAACAGACAATAAGAGGGCAACTTAAATCAAATAGGTCCAGACAGGATGATAGGAAGTGATTGTATACCCCACTCTCAGACACACTCAAAAGTAAAAAACAAACAAATAAACAAACAAACAAAATCTACAGAGTTAAAATATACTGGAGATCAAATAGACTTAGCAAGTATCTGGGATATTCAACCCAGTCAAATGTATTTTCAGCAGAATTATCTAAAGAAGGTTATATTGTAGGTCACAAAGCAAATCTTAATAAATAAAAAGTAACTAAAATAATTTCTTGTATATTGTCAGATCACAGTACAGTGAAACAGAGGTCAGGAGCTATGCTCAACGACTGTGATACATTCTTGAGTGGAGAGATAAGGGGGAGAGCATCCGTAGAACAAAATGAAGATGAGAACACAGCTTTACCTTTTGTAAGACAGCTAAGGCAGTTCTAAAGGAAAATTTGCAGCTACCAGAGTTTATACAGTGAGTCACTGTGAAGATCAGGTAAGAAAGTTAAAATGTCTAAGAGTCAAATTAAAACTAAAGCATCGTTTTGGAGACTCACAGAAGTACAGCTAAGGCAGTTCTAATAAATCATATTTGTCAATGTCTGTTTTTAAAGAAATCTGAGAAATATTAAATAAATAACCTCAAGGATATTAGACAAATAATGACAAGCCAAACAGTAAAGAGAATTTCTTATAAGCATCACCTGTCAATAAAAAAGCTCATGGCCAATGAATTGAGGCAGAGAATAGGAGGTGGAACATCCGGCAGGGACAGAGAGAATTCTGAGAAATAATGAGAGGCTCAGGAGACTCCTCTGGGAACACAGAGGCAACCTGCAGGCAGCTGAACTCAAGATAGAATAAAGGGGAGATTCACCAGCCAGATGAGGAGGAGGAAGCAGACTGGGACTGAAGGAAAGGTTACTAACCCGGTAGCTGAACCCAGGTTAGAATAAAAGGGATACTATGTTAAGGGCAAGTCAGAGAACAAGCCAAAGCTTATGGCCTAGGCATTTATTAATAGATAATTAGTCTCAGTGTTGTCATTCCTGGAGCAGGTGCTGGAAGGAAAGAAAATGGACTTACATGTTTTCACCAAGCTCAAAAGCAGTGGCTGTCAAGAAACAATAAAGGTCAGAAAGGAAATGCATTAAAATAGAGACTAAAAGAAAAGCAACTCCAGAGCCACAGAATCAGGACATGGTACCGGCACAAGAACAGACAGCCAGACCAATGAGAGGAAACAGAAGAACCAGAAATAAACCTGTGAAGATGCAACCATATGAGTTTCCTCAAAGGTGCCAAAACCCACCCACCCCCAGCTCTGCCATCCACAGCACATAGTTTGTCTTGTAGGCTCAGGCCAGCATCACTCCAGAGCTGTTACTGTCCTTAATGGTTGCCCCACAGTTCTGGCATCTCCAATATCCTGAGATCTTCACTGAAACTGAGGCTCCACCCTCACCAGTAGCCTCCTGGCCTCTCTTCGGAGACTCTAACCCTGCTTCATGGTGCCAAGCCTCAGATCTTCCTCATTACACTTTTAATCCAAGGTTCTCACTGAATTGAGGCTGTACCTTCCCCAGTAGCCTCTTCCAGCCTATCTTCATGGAGACTCTGATCTTGCCAGTCAATGTCAGGCCTCAACTGCCCTCCAGGACCCCCTTATTCCTTCAAAGCCAGCACCACCTGGGAAACCCTTGCCCAGTACCAAGTTTTTGCTGCCAACAGCAGGACCACAGCTTCTGTGTGTGGACTCTGAAGACATCCTCCCCGAAAGGTTTCACCTCAATGATGTGGTCTTATTAATCACAGCTGATTCTTCAGCCCCAGCTGAGTAACATTGACTGTCCCAGTAATACACAGTTTTTTCTTCCATGGATTATTAATTCTAATGTGTTACATAAAAAGCCCCAGACAGTCTCTGCTTCCCTCTGAAGCTCCAGAAGTCATGTCTCCATTGCCTGTACCTATTTCCATCCAAGTACTAGCCTGTCCCAACCCTGCTTAGCTTCAGAGACCAGACAAGATGGGGCATATTTAGACTAGTATGGTTGTCAGTACCTGTACCTTTCTCAATATTCCTATTTCCCAAACTCCCATAGCAACTCACTGAGCTGTAAGCACTGAATGGCTTTCCCGACCCAAAGCTGCAAAATGCTTCCATAATCGTTATCAAAAAAAAAAAAAAAAGGTCCAGTCCACCACTGCAAGGTTCTACTCTATGTTCCCAGTTTCCATTCTGTTGCTGTGATAAAACACCCACCAAACGCAACTTGGGGAGGAAGTGTGCCTTAGTTACCTCTTTATTGCTGTAAAGAGACACTATGCCCAAGGCAACTTAGAGAATGAAGAGCTTATGGGGGTTCACAGTTTCAGAGGGTGAGTCATGACCATCATGGTGGGTAGCAGACACCAGGCAGGCATGGTGCTGGAGCAGTATCTGATAACTTACATCTTGAGGCACAATCACGAGAGAGAGAGAGAGAGAGAGAGAGAGAGAGAGAGAGAGAGAGAGAGAGAGAGAGAGAG